GCGTGTTCACTTCCGCCACACACACACACACGCACACACACTGGAAACACACAACACACACAGAGAAACATCAAACATGTCCACTTGTTTTTCTGATCAAAATATATACCACAAATCACGGCAAATGTATGAACAAATGATACCTTGGCGATTTACCGTCGGGAAGAGGCATATATATCACGTTGTTGGGGTCTGGGAGGCGGTGAGTGACTAAACGCTAACCAGACACCAAGAAATCGCGTAAACAAACCTCGAAGCCGATCGGCGAGGAACAAACATTGTAAATCTGAAATCCTACAAGCGAAAATGGATAAATTGGCATTTCCATATATAAAGAACATTCCCGTTCGTTGCCGTTCCAATTAATTTAAAAGACCTCCCCTCCTTCTAAGAAAACAAAACGAAACAAAAGCAGTGTTTCGAAACAGGACACACCGAACCGTATGATACATTCATTGAAGATATAACTCGAGTAATGGCGGACTAAGTCTAAAAAAAGTATTGGTTTCCAGGAGACAAAATCGGCCCACCCACAACTAAAACGCCATCATTTAATTTTCATAACAAATAAATAAACCTTTCCCAAAAAATAAATATGGAAGAATGGGTAGAATTTAAATTTTTGTGAAAAAAAAAAAAAAAAAAAACTGTATATATTTGAATAATTACAGTGTTCATGTCGTGTACATTTTACTGGCAGTAGACACCAAATGTAAACACAGAATATTATAATTGAATATTTTATTCCCTTTTTTAAAGAATTTCAAAATCACTTTATTTATATTATTCGGAATTCTTAATCCTTGTCTCCAATTTATTACAACGTTTCATTTTTAGGTTTGTTGTTATTCGGACTATTATAATCATAGATGAGGTAATATGAATTATTTTCATACTTTGTCCTCCTTTGTCCCATATTTATTAAAAACGTTTCAATTCGTTGTACCAATCCGGCCTTCTTTAAGGTGGTTGGAATTCCAAACTGAAAACCTTGATTTTTTTTGAGGACTATGTAAAATTATTTATAACTGACAATCAATTTGTGGATTTTTTGATGAAGATTCAGTTCGTTTGTATTTACCTTTTTTGATAATTTTCCCTGAACCTTTGTCGATTATCTTTTGCCAATTTTTGAAAACATTATTTTTTTTTTATCACTTATCTAATTTTATTGAAAGGATCTTGGTTTATATAGTTTCGCAGATTATTTGGTAAAAAAAAGGATTCAGTTCTTTTTTGAGTGGAGAACTTTCAGAGGGAAAATTAGCAGGAGATAACTGATAACTGACATCCATCAAACATGGCACGTGAATTAGAATTTTAACCCCAGTGATCGAAAATAAAGGGTTCAGTTTTCTTATTCCAACCACCTGAAGAAGGCCGGAGCGTACAACGGCCGAAACGTTGTGACAAATATGGCGACAAAGATGAGGACAATAGTCCGACTAATGTAAATACTGAACCCTTTATTTCGCTCACTGAGGTATGAATAAGATTCCAGGATACTGGCGTAACTTTAAATTACTTTTATTAATAGAAGGTAATGTTAGAATACATACTGTTATCTGCCTACAAACCAGCCACACAGTACTGCCGAGTAAGTAAGCTAAGAAGGACTCTTCCGGTGAACCGGTGTTACTTATATAGTAGTTCCTCATGAAAGACATTCATGCCGGAACCTATTTGTTGTGGAGTGATTTCGCAGTGGAGGCTTGTATTTGTACTAAATCCGTCCTAAAATAGGTTCGACGTACAAAACGTTAGGAACTTGATATAATAGGTATTACGCAGAGTAATCTTGTTGTGGTCGCTGACTACTTTCGTATTCGACTAACTGTCGTCCCGCATGGACTGACCGACTGACCTTCGTTTCTTATACTATTCCTACTTATATTAGGTGGGAGAGTCTATTAACTATAGAATAGGTGTATTTCACCATAACACGATTACAGGGTAGACTGTTCTAGTTCCACGTGCCATGTTTAATGGGTGTCAGTTATCAGTTATCTTTTGTTAATTTCTCTCTGGAAGTTCTCCACTGCCTTAACCAGGTATTGAACTCACACTCTTTGCGTCCTGTCATTGGATCTAACCAACGCTTTCATCCACTGTGCCATGTTACCTCAAAGACTCATCTAGTGCCTCAGGCAGCTGTTCCCCAGGGTTGGGCACTTCTTCAGTATAATTTTCCTCAGCTGCCCCTCTGTCCTTTGACAGAGAAAAATAAATTTTTTTTTTGTCCAAAGACAGAGAAGCAACTGAAGAGAAATTTAGACGCGACCTTACTCAAAATTTATACGCATATTAACTCCTTGAATTCCCCACTTGGACGAGCTGTGACACAATGGTCTATTTTTATGTTTGGTGGGGACCCGAGCAATGAGCCTGGGTCAACCACAAAATTCCCCTCAGCCTTACATTTGATGAGACACGAGAAGTGTTGAAACAAAATGGCTATTTTTGTAGTGATTTTATAACATATTTATGTTATAATTTTCGAATAAATAATTATATTTGCTCTACTTTGTATTAAGCACTCATTTAAGAATAATATTTGTTGGTTATTGGAATTTATTCCGTACATCAATCCTATATTTGTATATATATATATATATATATATATATATATATATATATATATATATATATATATGAAATTAGGAGATCAAAATTACGCTACATTGGTTTTCAACCTTTCGTTATCTTCAGGCGATTCAATAAATAATTTTCTAACGCATCAGTATTCAAAAATAAATGAACGCACAACGCGAATTGTAATAGAAGTCGGGGGTACTGAAATTATATCAAATGTACATACTTTCATCCCGGTTCGGATGAACTCAAAAGGATTTTTTTGTATATATATAGTGTCATTGCTTCTGATATCAGAGTTTTTTTTTTTGTTTTTTCTGGTCTGGAAAAGTTATTATTGCCAACTTTTCTTTTTGGCAAAGATTGCAGATATCACTTCGATTGTTGTAAGGTTGGGCTTTTTCCCATTTTACAATCAGATTTTTTATATTTTTTTCTTTTAATTTCCAAACATGTCTGGCTAGATTAGTAGAATCCCTAAGTCTTCCTAGCTTGAATGATGACTTGTGATTATACCACCTCTGCTTGAAGCTACCTTC